CGGGGAGGGGAGCGGAGGAGGGGGAGGCAGTTCCTTCGGTGGGGCTCCTCCCGATCCCTTCACTGGCGTAGATCAGGAGGGAACCCATTCGGATCATGACACGAACAGTACCCGGCACCCCGAGTCCCCATCAAGCACCGGAAGCGTCCTTATGTCCTTAACGGGATACCCAGAAGGGAAAAGGCGCACGAAAAGGGCAATAGGAGCGCGCTTATTCTCCAGGAGGGAAAAACCTGCAAGTACCTCTCCTCCCTTTCATGATCGATTTAGTTAATAAGCGATACTCTAAAGACAAGATTTTTTTTTCTTTCTAACTTTTTTTTTTCTCTCTTTTCTCCCCCTCCTTTTTTTTCTTTATTTTCTTTCCTTTTGCAACATGACATCCTCAGTTCCTTTAAGAAAGAGAGGTAAGGCTCCCAATTCAACTGAAAAGAAAAGCAGGGAAAAAAAATGGAATCGCGGTGTGCGTCAAACCTACGTTTTGCCTCGAAACGAGGCACTCGCCGAGGTAACATTTGATGTGACAGACGCTGGGAGATCTTTGTCTCGTCGCCTTGCTTCTGATGAGACCTGAAGCCAAGAGAAGGACGTCGTAATAACACATGCTATGCTTTATTTCCAGACACTATCAAGGAATTAAATGTATATATATGTATATATATATATATCAGTTTCCGAGGGATGAGATCTGGTTACCGTCTCTTAGGTCTAAATCTTCTTTTTGAGTCTTTGGTCTGCTTCTGCAGCATTTTGGGCGGCTTGCGGAGCGGGCTGCCAGCTGCAGAGCTAGCTCGCGTGGACGACGTTGCCCCGCGCATCCCCTGGGCACGGCCCGCCGTGGGCTGGCGGGACACGCGGCTCCCGGTGCGCGGCATCCCGCGCTCCGCGCCGGGCGGACGCTGCCTACCCCGCTGCCCTGGGAAGGTGAATGCGCTGCAGCAGAATTGCAATATATCCGATGCTGGAAATCGGCAGCAAGTGCAGTCACGCGTTATAATTGTCCTCTGTGTCACCCGACAATGGTCCCTTTTTATCGCGTTGGTGTCATCCACTCGTTAAGACAGTCCTTGTATAATGAACTGTGGCTATTGCGTAATACGGAGCGTCTCCTTTCCCATCCGCCGAGAGTTGTTCTCTCCCTGTCTCCACGCAGGTATTTCATTTACGATCAGATATTTATTTTCTCTTTGGCAAGAGGCAGGGGATAGTTATGAGAGATCACATGTCTTCTTGCTCAAAGCAGTGAGCAGTTTTGCCCTTGAGGACTAAAAAATATTTTTTTTCCTCCACGAGATAATAACTTTTTAAATAAACACATGGGAAAGCTTCGGGGAGGAAAGCGCTGTTTGAGAGGTTGTATTTACATGCAGAAAACCCGCGAACAAAATGATCGGATGGAGACTTCGGTTTTTGAGGTGATGCACGGCCCCTGCTCCGAAGAAATGCGGGACTCCGCGGGTGCGGATTGTCGGTGCTTTGCCTTTTGCAACGAGGGAAGAGTCCTCAGGCTGCCTTGGACCCCCTCAAGGTCTGTCCTGGCAGCCGGGGCTGGACCATGTTGCCCTTGTAGCCAATGCTCCCGTGCAACTGCCGCAGCTCCCAGAGAGCGCAGGATCGGGTCCTGGGGGGAGAAAAAGTTTGGACACCTGCTAGTGCCTCGCTGCTCGAAGCCAGGACCATCTCGAGCAATTTTTATTTCTGATTTCCTATTATTTTTCCTAAGAGGGAAAGAAATTGGCAAAATGACGATCTGCGACCTAAAAATCGCTTTCTAGGCTCTGCTTCCACACTCAAACGGTTTCCATCGGACTAGCTGAAGTTAATTTTAAGTACTGGGCACATCTCTCTGCTCATCGTTGTGACTATAGCAAAGAGACCCCACTCCAGAGCGGAAAAGAGTGTGTGGAGAATTACAAACTAAAAGCTCGATGCTTTTAGTCTCGACTGCTCGATTACTCCGGGAGTCTGCCTAGGCACATCCATCTCTCCCCTAAGAACAAGCAGTAGAGTTAATTTTTATGTGGATATTTTCCTTTTATTTGTCACCTTTAATACGCATTCGTTTTCGCTACTCTGCCTGTTTCTCTACACCGGTCTAGGAAAGATAGAGGGAATAGGAAATAAATTAAATACCCCATTCTCAAACGAGACTCTTACAAAAAATAATATACATATATACACACATACTATTACTTGTGCGATTCATCCGCAGTACTCAGATACACACCACGCTCACTGCAACTCTCAAATTGCAGTGTCTGTTATCTTATTTTCCCCCCTTGGCTTCACATCTTTATTTTTCAAATACGTCCCAAACCCTCCGAGTGATTGCAGCTTTGTTATTGTACTGTTTGTTTGTCTCCCGTAGTTGCCCATCTCTTTTTGATTATCCAATAAATAAACTGCACATGGGTTGCAGACTTGAATTTGATACACACTGATTGAAGAGAGTGCTCGGATCCAGAAGATCATTGAAGGTGATTTCCCTACTTCCAAGACACTATATATTTAAATAAAACTTAAATTTTATATCAACTTCAGTTTTTTTTTTTTTCATAAAAATACCAAACGTGATTAAGGACTTTAAAAAAAAATCTGCTTAGTGCGTGAAAGAATTATGCGGGAATCTGGTGGTGCAGTTTTGAGGCTGCCTGTGTTTCTGCAGGAAAACTGAAGTGAAGGATCCTCCTAACGGGACGCGGTCCCGTGTCCCCGCCGGGGGTGACCCGGGCTCCGCCTGTCGCAGGTGGCCGCGGGCCGCTGCGCCCCATGCGCTCCTCGAACCCCCGCGCCCCGGGGCCGGAGCGGGCTGCAGCTCGCAGCGGGCTGATGCCAAACCCATGGGGATCCCAGCAGGATCCTGCAAGAGCTAAAAAGCCCAGACGTGCTTTTATACCCATCTCGCACGAAACATTCCCGACAGCTGCAGTTTTTACCCAGCGCGCAGGGTGGGTGTGAAGGGTGAACCTCTCCCTCCAGATTCCTGCTCGCCCGCCAAGGCTACCCGGATTTTTTCCTTCCCGTATTTAATTACCTTCAAGATTCTTTCACCAGCTTCACAATTAACTCTGATTGCATTTCGAGGTGATATTAGTTCTGCACAGAATGCCATCACGCTGCCGGAAACCTTATGCAGGAGCAGGAAATTTGTTTGGATGCTCCTAATTCCTCCATAGATTATATTGGCTTTAACTCTTTTCAAGGAAGACAATTTTTATTTATGTATATGTACATTTACGATGCACAGAAAGTTGTCTGTAATAATCAAAGCAAATCGCAATTTAGAATACAGTGGATGTAGAAGGATATTCATTTAGCTAATGATCAAATTAAATCCACACATCATTTATTTTACAGGTTAATTTGTGCAGCTTCTCAGAAATCAGAGATGAGAAGTTCCACTATCTCCTCCAGTTTATGGTCCCCCCCATCAGCATAGCGTTCTCTTTTCTTATTAATTTATTGATGCCTACTTGAGCTGATTAGAAATGTCACAAACTGTGTTGTTTCCATTATTTTCTTCAGTTGTTTCCTTAATTATCTCCTTAAATTCAAATGTTTCTTATTTGAAGAATAACCCTCCTTCCAATGTAAGTTTTAGGTCTGTCTAGGCATTTAAATATATATACATATATATTATTAAACAACTTAATTCATCATCTCTAAAATAATAATTAAAGAAAAAAAGGAGAGAGAGAAAATATTTAAATCTGACTCAAGCTTGCTGCTTGGAAGCAGAGCCTGGAAGGGACCACTTTCAGAGTAGGTTTGCCGTCAGACCACAGCAGTCTTTTTGTATGGCTCTCTGCCTCATGCAACAGACTGCATCAGGTTTGGTGTACTTTTTATTAAAACTCTGCATTTTCTTGTGAGTGTACAATGTCAGTTTATTCTACGGGAAAGTTATTTGAATAGTAGGTCCTCACAGTTCCTCACTTTCAAAAACCCCGATTGCTCCACAGTCAAATCAGTGTTTTATTTTGATTTTTTTTCTTCAAAGTAGTGCTAGCAGTGGTGCAGACCCCCACATTCAGGGATGGATCCAGTGTTTAGAGAACCGTGATCCTATCAATGGTTTAGCATGGGTCAGCTTTTGCAGTTGTGCTACTTACAATGTGCTTCAAAATATTTTGGAGTGCAGGGAATTGGTTCAGTCTTGATTTGCTACTAGTGATAGTGGTGAAGGAATATAGAAAAAAAAAGATTTGTCCCAAACAAATGTCTTTTTCCAATGTCAGGGGGTTTGATCATGATAATGGGGAGTTCTGGATACTTAAGGTTCAGTTAACAGAAGTTTTATTTAATATGATTGACTCCAGATGGTTCCCATGCACAACAGAGACTTAGATAGCAACCAGAGCTTCAGCACACGGGAGTATCTGAGTAATGAATTTTCATTTGGCCCACAAGAGCCGGCAGTCTGGGCAACACTTGGATCTGCATCAGTTTGAATTCCAGAGCCGTATTAGGCACAGGGGGAGGAGGAAAGCGTGAGGGAGGAGGGCTGCTTCTCTTTACAATGCAGTGAAAGCCAGAGCTATGCATGCCAAGAAAATCATATTAAAATTATGTTAACAGTTTTCTAGGTTGCAATGGGATAAAGCTCAAGCTAACACCAATCAGAATAGTTCAGTCAGGCCTCAGTCTGCACTGGGGAATTTTCAGCAGTGTTAATATTGGCTCTGATTCTCTGTCATTATCGGTGTAGGTCCAACAAAGCCACCCTAGTTATGACCTCACCCCATTTCAATTAGAAATGGCCTAATCATCTCAAGGTCTAATATGTTAACAAGGGCTTTGTACGCTCCACAATTCCCACCAGATCTACTGAAGCATGATCAGTACTAGCTAAATTTGCAAAATATTCCTATAGTAGTGTAGATGACACCAGAAGATAAAGTATCTTTTGTCTCTTTAATACTTGTGCTCTAAGCCATACTGTTTTCTTCTCTGTGTAAAGACATCAACTTATAATTCCTTAGTTTATTCAGTAAGATTTTGATGTCTTTGGTCATGTCTCAGACAGGTCAATGTTAAGGATATGCATGATTACAGGAAAAGAGGATACCTCATGTCTTGCTGTGAACATTTACCTGTTAGTAATAAAGGAGAAACTGGAAGGAAACCTTGGAGGTAATTGCTAACGGTATGATTAGAGTTGTTATTGTTGTGGTAGAATTCAAGTGGATAATGCAAAAAGTAGATTATAATGTACAAATACAAAAGTTTCTGATGCCATCTGGGAAATATTGGAAGCTTTTCTTCTTAGCAACTTTCTACTGTATGTATAAAATTGGTGATTATTGCCTTGCTTTTCTCTACTAGCCTAAAGGCCAGTGTGTAAAATCATATTATGCATTGCAGGGGATGAGGGGACATTTTTGTTCTGCAGATCAATCTGAACCAAAATGAAGAGTTTTCTTTCAGAGTGGTGAATGCCAAGAAAAGCAGCTTCTGAATGCTGTGCAGGAGGGCAGAGCCATTCCCAAGGCAAATGTGTCCTTGATTTACCTTCAGACTTCCCACAGGGGATTTGTTTCAAATACAGGTGTCATTGCAGCAGAGCTTGGGTTGTTGAGCCAAAGGGTCCAAAAGAAGTAAAATGGCTAGTTCTTGGTTTTGCCTTGGCCCTGGTGTAGACAATATGTGGATTACAAGAAGGCAAAAAATGTCTGCATGAAATAATGCTTGTATAAAGCATTTAGTCCTCCTTCCTCAACTCTATGTTCCAGAGTCAAGGAACATTCTGGAAAAGCATCTGTGACCAGAGCATGGTCTGCAGGGTCCTGTGTGCAGAGGCATGTTATTGCTGGCTCTTCACGGCCTGGTTATATACCCACAGGACACCTATAATGGCATGAAGAACAGTAAGTTT